CCCTCTGAAGCCTCAGCGGGCCCCTTCTTACCTTGTACGTTTTGAACCTGGGAGGGAATCGGATTCGCATTCTGGGGCCTCGAAAAGCTGGCACAACACAAAAATGCGATCGAAACTCCAACGTGATGAGCTCGGTAGTGCCAGCGAAACCTATGGACCGTGCCAAGACATTTCCCTGGGAAGCGCCCAACGATAACGACAACAACCGACGAGCGGTGGAGGAGGGGAAGGAGGGCGAGGAGGAGGAGGAGGATGAGGAGGAGGGGGAGAAATCATCGTTCCTGTCCTCAGTCTGCTCCGTAGCCCATTTTGGCTCCAACAATGGACAGAGCGTCCAAATTGCGCAAGATATCAGATGCTCGGCACGCGCTTCCGCACGTGAGCAAGACAGCGCTATCAGCATTCTGCGCTGCTGCTCGCCGCGGCGACCTCCCTGAGATCGCTTCGACGAAAGACATCAGGGATGCTAGGGACGCATCGGCTGACATACTGACTCCTTATGGTCACGTAATGCACACCGTGCAGATTCATCCGAGAGAGGGCGGCCCAATCGACGTTGAGATAGTTGATCCCATTCCGTACATATACGCGCTTGCCAATCGGTGCCCAAGGTTCGTCGAAGTGCTCAAGGCTGGCCTCAGGAAACATCCTTGCGATATATCTCGCCCGTGGTCAGTGGTACTGTATTCTGATGAGGCCAAACCTGGCAACAGGCTGAAACAGCATAACCGTCGCGCGCTACAGCTGGTTTATTTCAGTTTCTTCGAACTGGCCCCCCCTGCTTTATCAAAGGAGGACTTCTGGCTTTGCGTCGGCGCAGTAAAATCGGATGACATATCATCATGCAATGGTGGCATGGCCCAACTCGTGGGCTGCATCTTGCGTCGCATGTTTAACCCTGAAGCCCATGATCTGATGCTCAGTGGTATGACGCTGGACTTCCCCGATGGCTCCTCCACCAGGTTCGTTGCCAAGTTGGTGAGCGTTCTCGGTGACGAGTCTGGGTTGCACCAGACTTGGCTCTGCAAGGGCAGCGGAGGAACCAAATGCTGTTGCCAGTGCCTCAACATCGTCAACCGTAATTGGGTGGGGGCAGATGAGCTTGGGGAGGGCACGCTGCTTCAGGACTACACCGCCGCCACTGACCTCAGCAAGTGCGTGCTCCACACCAAGGCTTCCATACTTGTTTTGGTGGGCGATCTTGCTGAGAAGAAGGCGACGATGGGGAAGACTGCATTCAAAAAGTATGAGACCGATATGGGTTGGAACTACTCACCTTACAACTTGCTTTCGGATCCGCACCTCAAGCACATTGTGGATCCAGCGTCCCAGAACACATTTGATTGGGTGCACAATATTTTGGCTGGAGTCTGGGGTTCGACCGCATACCAGGCTATCTATGCAATTGGGCAGTCTGGCATCAAATCGAAACATATTCTGGCATACCTCGAAATGTACAAGTGGCCACGCAGGGTGCACAGCAAATCCAATACAGGCGTGGGTATGTTCTCAGTGAAGCGCGCAGACAGCAGCTGGAAAAGTCAGTCGTGGAAAGGCTCTTGTTCTGAAGTGTTATCGGTTCATGCTCCCTTTGCGCAGTTCTTCCGATGCAGAGTGCTACCTGATTTCCCGTGCCATCGTGATACTTGTGAGGCAGTCATGTGCCTTTCAACGTTGATCCACATGTTGTGGCATTGTGCAAAATTGAGGGTGTCTGCTCTAAGTGTCGCGACCGCAACTACAAACTTCCTGAATGCGTACATTCGTGCCTTCGGAAAAGATCCGATGATCTGGAAATTCCACGGAATAATCCACCATCCCCAATACATTTCCCGTTGGGGATGGCCCCCTGGGACTCTCACGATGGAAAGGAAGCACAAGTTTGTCCTCAGGCACGCAGAGGATCACATGAAAGACACCAAGGGTGTCATCAGGGAGGTCATCTCAGAGAGCATGCACAATCTTAGGAATGCCCGTTGGCTCGATTTGTCGACTGGCCTTGTCGAGCCGAAGGCTCCCACCAAGAGCTTGAAAGAGTATTTGGATTCTACGTTCGGTGCTTTAGAACATTTCGCTGCATCAAAGGCTCGTTTCAACGAGTACGACGTCGCCTGGATCGGTGATGTCGTTGCTCTGAAACAGCTGCCAGCAGGTTGGATCATCGCCAGAGTGTTGTTTTTCGGTAGCACCGCGGGCGTTGCGTATGCCGCAGTGCATCCCTTTAAGTGCACGTCCAAGTCCAAATGGTCCAGCACGTGGGAGAAACTCGAAGCTCCTATGATGGCAGATCTAGATGATTTCCTGGAGACGCTCATCCATTACGGCAGCGATTCCAGTCTTACTATTTTGCATCCTTTGTCGCTAGTGCAGTGATTGTTGCTCGTTGGGTATGCGAACAATTCGCCTGCTGCCACTGCAAACACTGAAGCGGGAGAGAGGGAGGAGCGAAGGAGCAGAGCAAAGGAAGGACGTCAAGGAGGGAAGCGATTGAGAGAGATACGACGGCACAGAGGGAAAGGAACGATGGGAGGGGATGAGGAAAAAGAAGGGGAGGAGAAAGGATGCGAACTGGGACGAGAGACGAACGGAGAGAGCTACGACAGGGAGCGGGAGGGCCGAGCTAGGGAGAGAACGACGCCGCACTCCTGAGGATTCAAGGCCGTCCGAGCATTGATATACTCAATGCCCATCGATTTTCGCGCTTACCTCTGCAGGCTTCCGCCACATCCGCCGATGATGTTCCGATGGTATCCCGATGGAGTCCCGACGGTGTTTCGATGATGTCCCGATTCTAGAAGGTTCATTTTCATGGGAAGCTGGCAGACGGATGGCCGCCGACGGGCCAACAAAATGAAAACCGAAACCTCTGGGCCCATGATTTCTGTATTCCCTGGACGCAAATTCACCTTGAAGTAATGGGTGTTTTTCTCGAGCTAGCGCTCGGTAACCCAATTAACTAAACTCTGCTAAATGATCTGCAGCCCTTACATAACCTATTTAGCGGGATAGCTAATCAAGTTAGCAACTCACTAGCAACCCTTACGGACCATACAATTACTAAAGGTTAGTAGAGGGGTGCTAACACCATAGCCAAACCTTCACAACCCCTAGTAACCAAGCCCAACCCCTAACAACCATTGCAAAAGTTAACAACCCCCTCGTCCACCCAAGTGGGGGGCGCGCATCCATGCGCCGACCTGCCCGGGGCGTTTTTTCCTGCTGAACGCGCGGGTCAGTGGCGCAGCTGTCGACGGAGGGCGCGCTGGCCACGCGCCCCGTCTGGGGCGCGGCTGGGCGGGCGCCGGGCGAGGCCGCAGCGGCCCAGGCGCCCCTGGCGGCGAACCGCCGCCGACGCCTCGAACGCGCGCCCGTGGCCGGGCGCCCCCCCATTTGGCCCCGCCGCGAACTCGCCTCCCTCCTCCGCCCTCGCTCGCATCTTCCTCCCCTCGCGACTCGCCGCCCCCTTACTCCCCCTCCCCGCCGCCCGTTCGCCCATCCCCCTCCGCGCTCCAATGTCCTTCCTTATGCTTTCCCAGCTCTCATTGCCGTTCCCTGCGCCCGCCGCCCCCCCCACTTTCCCTGTCAAGATCTATCGTCTCTCCCCGTTCCTCCCCCCCCCAAGACCCCCCCTCCCGGCCCGGGCCGCCCCCGCCGCCGCCCTCTCCGCCCCCCCCCTCCGACCCCCTTAGGGACAAACGAAAACGGAGCGTCAAGGAATTGCGGTTTCCGCCCCCGCGCAAACTGGGCCCCGCCGCCTGCCGCAGTCAACCCGCCCCGCCACCGCCGCCCGCCGCCGCAGGCGCCGGCGCCGGCCCAGAAATGGAAATCGTCGTTCCCGCCGTCGTCGCCAGCCGCCGCCGACACAAGCGCCGGCCCGAGGAGAGGGGAAGCAGAGGAGGGAGGGGGAGGGGGAGGGGGAGCGGGGGGGATTCGAACCCCCCTCCCGTCACGGGAGGGAAGGGGGGGGAGGGGGGGATTCGAACCCCTCCCCCCCTCCATCCAGGGGGGGGGAGGTCCGGTTTCAACCCCCCCCACCCCTCCAAGCGACCACAGAGGGCGCTCTTTCCTAGGTGTTTGTCATGGGTTCGGCGAGAACATGAATTCTGGGGTAAATCAAATATGTAGTCGATCCCCTACTCGCATCATGTATTGGCCATGGATATCACCACCGCCCTCGCCAGATAAAGAATCCTCCAGGGTCGGAACCCTCCTGGGCACACTCCTGAACCACCGCCCTCACCGTAGCTGGTCCTGCGGACCTCCCCTGGGGTTTAGGGTTAGGTCGGGCACGTCCTCCTGCAGTTATGGTGCTCCCATCGTACTTAAGGACCATATCCAGAAATAATTTCGAGCACCCAGAAAAGTGTCGAAACAGTGTCGAACAGGTGTCGCCTCCCAGTGTCCGGCACGTGAAAACCATCAAGTGTCGGTACTTAGTTGGTGCTCGAAATTCTTTCTGGCGACCAAGGCTAAAAGGAAGTTGGAACATCATAGTCCTACAGGCGGAATTTGGAACAAATTAAGGACTTTGGCAAACAAATGTTCATACATAGTCAAAAGAGCATGAGAAATCATCACCAGACTATGCTGAACTATTCTTGATCATTCCTCCTGTCGAGGGACATGCCCGACTTGAGTCTAGGGCCCATTTCCCTCAGGACCCGCTTCCTCCATCGCGAACTCCCAGACCCCCTGCGCTCCGATTTCTTTGATGCGCTGAGCATCGTTTATCCGGCCCCCATCCCCAGCGGCGTGGCCTGGGCCCCACTGGCCGATTTAGCCCCCTAGATGGGGATATAGGCCGTTCCCTTCGGGTTTCGAGGGGTGTATCCCCAACTGGGGGGGTAATTTGGTGGGGGTCTCGAAGGGGATGGGGATGGGGATGGGGGTCGGTTAAACGATGCTGATGCGCGGGATCCTCTCTGAAGCACTTCCCCAAGGCGAAATCGTTGTTCGACGGTCCCTGCGCCCGAAACCAGCCTCCAGATGCCGAAGATTACTTACGACAGGCCGGCCGCCTCTCCATCTCTCCGGGGGGCGCCGGATGGCTCCGTGCCGAGCTTCGGTGAAGGGGCCCTGGGACACACGAACGAACACACACACACACAAAGAACAGGACTCCCCATCTTTTCCCATATGTTCCGGGTTTTTGTCTTCCCACCCACTTCCCACCTGTTCCCATATTTCCCCATAGTCTCTAAGGAATCGACGGCTCGTTGTGTCTGTGTGTGCTTTTTGTCCCTCCCGAGCGTGGTCGTGCGCCCGAGCCCCGGTTCGGCCGCGGGGCCTGCGTGCCCGGGAGCGCGGCCGCCAGCGCCAGCACCCCCGCGGAGCCGAAGCCGTTGCCCCCCAGCTGGAGGGACTTGATGGTCGTGAAGGGCAGCTGGTCCGCCAGGGCGGAGACGTCCTCCGGCTGCGCTCCGAGGGTGGCCCCCCGGGCTCAGGTCGGGCAGGTCCCCCTACAGGAGAATTTTGGACGAATCATAAACAGTAACAACAAAATAAACAAAACTCAAAAAAAACAACAACAACAAAAAAAGTCCCCTGACTCCTTTTGATCATTTTGAAATTTCCTCCTGTAGAGGGACATGCCCGACGTAAGCCTAAGCGCTTGAAGTTTTGCCTCCCAAGACGAAGCCAGGACGAAAACGAATTCGGGCAGGGGCAAATCGAGAATCTCCGAGATCCGGCGGCTCTGGAGGATGCCTCGTGCGCCGCGGCCTTCTCAGAGCGTTCCTGGACGCCCTGCGAGCGTGCCGGAACGCTGTGGAACGGATTTGTCCTCGTCCTGGTCCCGTCCGACCTCCCCCCCCCGCTACGTCCTCCCCCACACATCCGTTCCCACACCCTTCGAGAGACAGAGAAAAGAGAGAGACCGAAGCGACAGAGAGAGAGAGAGAGAGCGAGGGAGAAAGAGAGAGACAGGGAGGAGGAGGAGGAGGAGGAGGAGGAGGAGGAGGAGGAGGAGGAGGAGGAAGGGAGGAGGAGGAGGAGTTGGAGGAGGAGGAGAGGGACAGGACAGGACATCCGCATAACGGGGTCAACGCCGAAACGCCCGCAAAAGGAGCGGACGAGACGGAAGGAGGAGGAGGCGGAAGGACGGGGGTCCATGGGAGGAGCGAGGGGAGGCGAGGAGCCGGAGCAAAGGCGGGACGGAGGCGGAGCTGCAGGGCCCAGACTAATAAAAGGCAGAGGCCAGGCCCAGGGCCCTGGATCGAGCATCGCGGATCGTGGACACAGAGGATCGAGGACACAGAGGATCGACTATCGAGGATCGCGGATGCACAATTAGAATAAGAAAAAACACATAGCGGATTTCTTGGATCCGCGCTGGCCCCCCCTCCCTGGCGCGCGGAGCGCGCCAGGGGCGGCGCTGGAGGCGCCGCCGGGGGGCCCAGGCGCGGATCCAAGAAATCCGCGCGGAGCGCCAAAAGTGTATGTTCATGTGTTTATTTCTTCTTCGAACGCAGAGGATGGAGGATCATCGATGCATCGGCGATGCATCGGTGATGCACTGGCGATGCGTCGGCGATGCGGCGCGATCCTCCGGCCTCATCTTCTCGGACCCCATCTAGGAGGCCTAGAACAGAGGATCGAGCATCGAGGATCGCGGATGCAGAGGCTCTGGGCAAACCAAGAGATACTGACACCGACCTCCCCCGGACTTCTCCCAGGGTGCCTTCTGACCAGAATCTCGAGGCGACTCCAGCGGTGGCGACGAGGGCCTCACAGGAGGCCCAACAAAGGGGAAAAGGGCCGCAGGGTAGAGGCATGGGTACCTTGTCTAACAGGGCATATGCCGACCCCTATCCCAGACATCGTGGGGCTTTCGAATGAAGCAGAAATTTGAGCCCCAACCCTGGGATATACGATTGGGGGGCGTTCATCCTTGATATAGTGGTGCGTCCGAATAGCCCCCTTGGGGTGTATCCCAGGGTTTCCCTCTTCTTCCGAGCGGCCAATCTTTTCCGGCGAAACTCAGGGATTGGGGGAGAAAAGTCACCTGCGATTTTCCTCCTCAAAGGCTCGAGGCTCGAGGATCGTGGCCGCCGAGGCCTGGCCCACGAGGGGCCGGCCGAGGAGCCTCCGCGCCCCAAGCTGCGCCAGAGCGCAGGGGGGCGAGAGGACGAGGAGGGGGAAGGAGAGGGGGAGGGGGAGGCGGGAGGAGGAGGGAGGAGGAAGGAGGAGGAGGAGGAGGGACGAGCAGGAGGAGGAGGAGGGAGAAGGAGAAGGAGGAGGAGAGGCGGGAGGGAGGAGGAGGAGGAGGAGGAGGTAGGAAGGAGGAGGGAGGAGGAGGAGGAGGGAGGAGGGAGGAGGGAGGGAGGAGGGAGGAGGAGGAGGAAGGGGGAGGAAAGGGAGGGAGGGAGGAGGAGGAAGGGAGGGGGAAGGAGGAGGGAGGAGGGAAGGGAGGAGGGGAGGGGGAGGAGGCGGGGGGGCCGACTCGAGGGTCGCTCGAGGGTCGCTCGAGCCGGCAGCGCCCGCGGGCCTCGTGCCGGCCGGGCGCGCCGCTCCTCGGCCGTGAGGCCGCAGCCCGCCAGGGTCAGCTCCTCGAGCAGCGGCGCCTCTACCGGAGGCCGGCGCCCTCCTGGGGCCCTCCCTCCTCCTCGAGGCGGAGGAGGAGGGGGAGGAGGAGGAATAACAAAAATAAAACAAAGGGAATAATAATAATACTAATAATAATAATAATAACAACAATAATAATCATAATAATAATGACAATAATAATAATGATAATAATAATGATAATAATAGTAATAATAATAATAATAATAATAATAATATAATAATAATACGAATGAGAATGATAATACTCATAATAATCCGAACCATAATCATAATAACATTAATAATGATCATAAACAGAATACGAATGATAATACTAATAATAATCCTAAGAATAATAATACAGTAACAAAAATAATAATAGCAACCACTAATAATAATACTATTATACTATTGGTACTAATACTAATACTCATAATAATGACAATACCAATAATAATAATGATAATAATAAGAATAATAATAATAATAATAATATGCAATAATAATAATAATAATAATATCACTAATAATAATAGCACCAGGAAGAAGACGAGGGAGAGGACGAGGAGGAGGACGAGGAGGAGGGGAAGAGGAGGAAAGCTGGGAGGAAGAGGAGGAAGGCACGAGGGGAGGGACTCAAGGAAGGAGACGAGGGGAGGGACATGAGGAGGAAGAGGGGGAAGACGAGGAGGAACAGGAGGAGGAAGACCTGGCGCGGAGAGGAGCAAAAGGAGCCGGAGCAGAACAAACCACGCCGGGAGGCTTTTCGCTATCTTCGGCACCTGGAGGCCCTCGCTTGGCCTCGGGGCCGTCCAAAAACAGCCCTGGACGAGCAGCCAGTCCCGGGCAATGGGTCGAGACTTCTGGGGGTCGACGTTACGACAAAATCATGACGTCAAGGGTCTGGTTCCTCCCCCTGCTCCAGCACATTCTGGTCCAATCCGCGCCGCCTCATCCTCCTGCTCCTCCTGTTCCTCGTTTCTTCCTCTTCCTCCGCCTCCTCATCCTCGTGTCCCTACACCTCCTCCTACACCTCCTCCTCCTCCTCCTCCTCCTCCTCCTCCTCCTCCTCCTCCTCCTCCTCCTCCTCCTCCGCACTCCTCCTCCTCCTCCTCACTCCTCCTCCTCACTCCTCCTCACTCCTCCTCCTCGTCCTTCTCGTCCAGTTCATGTCATGCCTTTCCTTCTCGTGGATTCCGCCCCCTCCTCCTCCTCCTCCTCCTCCTCCTCCTCCTACTACTCCTTTTCCTCTTCCTCCTCCTCCTCAACCCCATCCTCCTCGTGCTTCCCCTCCTCCTTCCCATTCTCCCCATCCTCCTTCCCTCCGTCTTCTTCTCTACCAGCTCTTCCATACTTGTCCATTCCGTGTGTTCGTCCTCCTCCTCCTCCTCCTCCTCCTCCTTTTCGTCCTCCCCATTATCCTTTTCCTCCCCCTCCGGTGTATTTTTAGTGCCACGGCGTATCCGGGATTCCTCCGCCTCCTGCTCTCCCTTTCCATCTTCGTTGTCTCGACACTTCTCGATGCCAGCCAACGGCCCGTCCTCCCACCTTGAACTCCTCTTTCTGGTTGTGGCTTCGGGGGCCCGTGCACAGTCAATGTCAGCGCAACGCAACGGAACGGAAACAGACAGACAGAGAGAAGGGCGGGGCAGGCGATGGGGGGTGATGGCATTCGCTTGCCTCCCGCCTCCACCACCTCCTCCTCCTCCTCCTCCTCCTACCTCCTCCTCCTCTCCTCCTCCTCCTCCTCCTCCTCCTCCTCCACCCCCCTTTCCTTTTTTGCCCTCTTTCTCCTCTTCTCCGCGGCGCCGCGGGTCCCTTTGCTGCGGGTGGTCTGCGATCGGGTGCTGGAGGGCACTCCGCCCGCCCCTGAAACAGGACGACTCCCGCGCCCAAGCAGGAGTCACCTCTTTGCCCAGGTGAGCGCGTCGCCGAGGCTGGAGTGTCACGCACTTGCGCGCGCGCGAGGGGCGCCTCGCCCCTTTCCTGCCACGTAGACTGCGACGTGGGCGACGGAACGTCGACATTGAGCGCCAAAACGTCGACACTGTCTTGTTTCTTGGGGCCGGGAAAAGTACCCCCCCCCCGGGACTGGCTGGCCATCGGCCAGCCCAGGGACGCATGTCGGATACCCTCTCTCGCTCCGCGAACGGATTTCTGCGCGCCCACTTCCGACGACGTCTGCTCGATCCGCCTCCGCTTTGGGACTCGAGGCCCCCCCCCACTAGAAGAGAAACCCTGGCGCCGGAGCCCTCCCGAGAAGAACCTGGGTTCTCGAGCCTTGCATCACTGCCCGCTGTTCTCTATACTGTCGCACTGGTACGCACCCAGGGAATTGGCGTCGATTCCTCGCCCCCAGTCCTCGAGCTCCCCGGAAAAAAAAAAAAAAAAAAAAAAAAAAAAAAAACTCCAGGATGCAGTCAGGGACGGGGGGGCTCTCCGGACGCGCCCCCCTCGAGGATGGGCGCCCTCCCCACCGTTGCATTCACGAGCTGGGCCCAAAACGTGTCTGGGGGCCTGCCAAATGCAACACACACCTCGTGAGTGTTCCCTTTTCCGTCGGGGGCAACACGTCTGTTGCCCCGGGGCGGAGGGGGGCGGTCGCGGGGGTAACGATGGCGGCGGTCGCGGCGTGCACCCGCCAGGGCGGGTCCGCGTACGCCACAGTGCTCGTGTACACCACGGTGCCTGCGTGCACCACAGCGCCCGCGCACAGTGTACACCAGTGCACTGGCCCTGCGTGCATGTCGATGCCCGCGTGCGCTGGAGCAGCCGTGTACTCCTTGCAGTGTCCTCCAGAAGCTGCAAACATGCACGATGGTGGCCGGTTTGCAAGCGTTATAACACGCGTCAGCCCCAAAGGCCTTAAAAGAACAAACACCTCCCTTCCTCTAGTGGCTCTTGGAAACCGGATCCAAACATCTTGATAGTGAGAATGGAAGCGGTAGCAAGCCGCCGAAACGGGAAAGCCGATGCTCTGGGACTGAAGCTGGAGCCAGAACCGAAACACAAATAGCGACGGACCAAGGGAAAAAAAACGGCGCCAGAACCAGGGAACTACCTGCAAGGTAAAAACTGAGAAACCGCGGCCCTGTCGTTTCCAAAACCTCCACCTTTGGCAGCGCGCACAAGGGGGCAGAAGGCGCTGGCCTTACATTCTAGACAAGGCCCGCGCCTTCGAAGGTGCAGCCTCCTTCTGAGAAACCTGGGTAACGCATCGACCTGGAATCGGCGATACGTCGCTTGTAACCGGCGATAGGCCCCCGACAGTGAATCTGCACGTTCCTCGGCAGGTTGGGGCTAACTATTGGACCCCTATCGGCAATCGCTGGGCGGCTGGTGGTGGCTGCCTCCCCCCCTGTGCCTATCCCCACCCTCCATCGTTGCCCCTGACTGCCCCCTTGTAGGGCGACGAAATCTATACATATCCACTGCTCCCAGGCCAGGCCCATCCTCAACCCCGCAGCGGTGTATACGCCACGCCCTCCTGGCTTGGCCAGGAGGGCGCGTACACAGCTCCTGGGTTCAAGATGGGCATGGTCAGGGAGCAGTGGATATGTATAGATTTCGTCGCCCGACCTTGTGCGCGCCGCCAAGAACCACGAGAACTCCTGCTCGATCGAAGATCTCGGGGGGCTCCTCTGCGCGCCGCAGACGCGGGCGCGGGGCGGAGGTCCGCGCGCCAGGGGGCGGGCCTCGCAGACCTCCGCGAGCGCCTCTCCGCCGCCCGCGAGGTGGTTCCCGGTCAGGTCCAGGATCTTGAGCTTCGTGCGGTCGATGCCTGCCAGGCTCGGCAAGGGCTCCGAGGCTCGAAGAGCCCCCCGGGCGTCCCCGTGCAGCAGTTTCTGGAGTCCCGAAGCGGTGCGGTGACAGACCGCGCGGTGACCTCGAAATCCCCCAAGACCCCACCGCACGGTCCTCACCGCACGGTTTGGGGACCCTGGAGGCCCCCGTCCCCCGAGACATCCTCGGAGAAGGACTCGCGTCCCAGATCAACGACGCGACCCCAGATCCCCATCGACTCACCACGCGGTGCGGCCACCGCACCTTTTGGGGGGCCCCCGTGCAGCGGGGACCGGCCGCCCCGGCCGGGGCTCGGGCGGGCCCAGCTCCACCCACCGCGCCCCGCGAGACGCGGCGCGCGCTGTCACCTTTGAGGAGGAGGAGGAGGAGGAGGAGGAGGAGGAGGAGGAGGAGGCGGAGGAGGAGGAGGAGGAGGAGGAGGAGGAGGAGGAGGAGGAGGAGAGGAGGAGGAGGAGGAGGGGAAGGATGGAGGAGGAGGAGGACGGAGGAGGAAGAGGAGGGAGGAGGAGGAGGAGGAGGAGGAAGAGGAGGAGGAGGACCCTGCCGCCCCTGCTCGGGTGCTTCAAGAAGCCAGGGGCCCGGAGCTCCGACGTGGCGGAGCCCGGGACCCCCTTGTTCCTGCTGCGTGTTGCGAGCCCGATCGGTTTGTGAGTGTCCCGGGGCCCGACAGCGAGCGCAACGGCCGGGTGGGAACAACAATGCAGGGCCCGGATCTCAGGGGGCCCCCAGCTTCGCCGCCCCATCTCGGGGCCTCTCGGGCCCCCTGGGCCTCGCGAGGGGTGCTCTATGGAGGCCATCTGCGCCTCCCCTCGTGGGTTGGGCAGGGACCGACCGTCCAAGCATTCCTAGAGGCCGACCACGAAATTGTCTTAGAACCCCAAATGTTAGGAAAACACAAACCATGTTCTTAGAACATAAGCCCGATGTGTTAAACCATGTTATAATAACATGGATTCGAGACCATGAAGAGGTTATAACATTCTTTGGTCGGCCTGACCGCGCGTCCCGGATAATAAACCATACCCCCCCCCCCTTTCACCCTCTATTGTTTTATCCCGGGCAATAGGATTTAAGTGAGGACAAGGGCGCGGGGGCCGAACTTGATAACCCCCGGGGGAAGTTGCGAATCGAAGTTGCTATCGTGTCTCATGTTGCCTAGCAGCGACATCAAAAACGCTGAACATGGCCACGGCGGTATCACCACATCAGCTCCTGCAGTCACGAGCATGTGGCAGGGCTGTGGGATTCTCACCACTTCAGGTTGCCCAAGTCACGAACGCGCGGCAAGGCCATGGGATTCTCACTTTCTCAGCCGTTCCCGAGTCAGAAGCGCGTGGTAGGGCCATGGGGACCGATTGGATTTTGATGTTGCATCCGTTTTTCGAACGGGCAGAACATCGGAGCTACTTTTTCGCGCATCACTCACACGGCTCGTGGCCCCTCATCCTCCTCATCCCCCTCCTCCTCCTCCTCCTCCTCCTCTCCTCTTCCTCCTCCTCCTCCTCCTCCTCCTCCTCCTCCTCCTCCTCCTCCTCCTCCTCCTCCTCCTCCTCCTCCTCCTCCTCCTCGTCTTCTAACCCCGCAACCGCCCAGGCCCGAGCTTCCCCGAGACCCCGAGACTCCGAGCTTTCGAGCCTCTTCGTGGCGCCGAGCCACTTCGCCTCAGGGACAGCGATAAGGGGGGATAGGCATAAGGGGACACATCGATCCCCAATCGCCTGTGATCGCAGAGAGTGGTTCGATAGCCCGAACCTGCCCAAGAACGTGCGGATTCACGATCGGGCGCGCATCGCCGATGCATCGGCGATGTATCACCGATTCTTGTCGACTGTTCCCGCCCAGCGCCTATCCCCCCAACATCGTTGCCCCTGAGTGCGTCGCGAGCCTCAGCCATGTCCCAGGCCGCCACGCGCGCCCAGGCGGAGACCCAGCCTGTCGCTGCCCTGTCGCTGCCCTGCAAAGAGTCGCGAGCCCGACATCGAACGAGATACTCGAGCGCATGGCCAAGCAGAACCAGAAGATCCTCGACAAGCTGTCCTTCATCGCGGACAAGACCGCTATTGCTGAGGTGCGCCAGTGCAAATCGAGCGCGCAAGGCACTGGCGCAGCAAGAACGACGGCCTGCTTTTTCCAGGCGGACAGCGCCACGTGGTCAAGCAGCGCCCAGCAGGCCGTCCTCGAGATGGTCTACAACGGCGGTTCTCTCAAGAGCATCGAGCACGGGCGCATCTTCAACGAGAAGGACAAGAGGCGCGTCGAGCTGGCGGTGGCGTTGTTCTACAAGACCTACTGCGAGAATGACGCCCGCCTCTACGACATCTCCGAAAATCACGGAGAGCGGCCCGAAAACCTCTTCTGGCTCATGCCGAGCTTCACGTCGAAGATGATCGAGCTCGCCAAAAGGAAGGACATCGGCTCGGAAGGACATCGAGCTCGGCGCCGGGAGCGCCCAGCGCCTCACCTTCGGCTCCTACGCCGCGCGCGCCGGCAAGGCCCTCCCCGACGCCCCCTTTCCGAGCTCCTCCACCACCACGACCTCGTGCTGCCCATTCTTGGTGGGCCTATAGGCGAGCCAGGACGCTTCGCCACTGCTCGAGGAAGGAGGGGGACTAGATGGCAACAACATCCACCCCCATAATAGCCACCCCAACACGCGAAGCCGTTTACTAAACGCCCCCACTGAAAGAATCGCACATGGCAGGGCTGCTTACTACACGCCCAGGGCCGTTTCGTAAACGAAGGGCTTTCCGCTATGCTCCTTTGGGGCCTCCGGGGAGGGGGGGACGGGAGGGGGCACGTCGCCACTGGCTGAGTCCGCCTCAAGACCCTACCCACAGCGCACCCCTGGGAGAGATCTGGGGATCGGCTGTGAGGGAGGAGGGAGACGAGGAGGAGGAGGAGGAGGAGGAGGAGGAGGAGGAGGAGGAGGAAGTGGAAGGAGGGGGAGGACGAGGAGGAGGAGGAGGACGAGGACGAGGAGGAGGAGGAGGAGGAGGAGGAGGAGGAGGTGGTTTTTCCTCCCTCGAGGGAGGGCGCTCAGACACATCCCACAGACACGAAGAGCGTGAACTGCCCGGCCGGGCCCGAGGGGCGTGCCCTCGGATCCCGGGCCGGGCCCGGCCGGGCCAGGAGCGGCGCGCGCCGGGCAGGGGATGGACTGCAGAATGGGTGCTCCCCAGAACTGAAGGGTCCCAGGGACACACAAATAAGCAGACACAGATGACAGGACTCCCCACATGTTCCCATAGTTTGTGGGTTCTCGTCCTCCCACCCACTTCCCATATGTTCCCATCGCTTCCTGGGATTCGACGACTGATTGTGTCTGTGTCTTGCTTTCCCTCAGGACCAATGGACTGCCACGTCGAATCTTCAACACAAATACGCAGAAGCTTCGTAGATCTACAAGCTTTCGACACATTCTCCATGGACTCGGCGAGAAGATCCGACTCTGGGGTCAGTCAGGTCTGCAGTCGATCCCCTACTCGAGCGCAGGAGACACCCGCGGGGTGCCTGCGGCCAGGGCCCGGACGTGCTCCACGCACAGCCCGCAGTCCGCGAGCTTCAGGGTGTTCATCTTGGAGACCCTCGGCTTCAGCAGCGGCGCGAGCACGGGCCGGGTGCTGCTAGAAGTGCCCCTGGCCCAAGGTGCCCCCAGCTTGTCGCTCCGTGTCGGAGCCCTTAGAAGGCCCTCCGGGCCTCGTGACGGGGTGCTTTGGAGGTCGTTTGGGCTACCCTGGAAATCCTGCGGGCACCTTGGCCCAGGGGCACTTCTAGCAACACCCGAACGGGCACCAGGAAGTCCCGGAGCTGCGGGTTGTACGCGAGGTCGAACTCCTCCAGCTTCGAGCTGCGATCCATGGCGACCTCGGCCCCCAGAGCGGTCCCCGCAGAACGACGGGACCAGGGTTATGTTGATCCCATCGTACTCAAGGACCACATCCCAGAAATAATTTCGAGCACCCGGGAAAGTGTCGAAAGAGTGTCGAAACAGTGTCGAAACAGTGTCGGGCGAGTGCCTCCCAGGGCCCGACACGCGAGAACCCATGAGTTTCGGCACTGTTTTGGGTGCTCGAAATTCTTTCTGGCGGTCCAGGCTAGAGCAGGTTGGAACATCATCAGCCCAGGGGCCGACGCAGGGAGCGGCACGGGCCCTGGCCAGGTCAGAAGAGGCACAAAATGTACACACGCTGCAGATCTTTGTTCGCTGCTCTGAAGTGGCCACTGTGTGCTTCATTATCTTCATCCGACCCCTGGCCCGCACCAAGTGGCTGGATACTCACAAGCACACAAGCACGCGCACACACACACACACACACACACACACACACAACCACACACACAACCACACACACACACGCAAACACACGCACACACACACACACACACACACACACACAAGCACACACACGCACACCCACGCACGCACGCACGCACGCACGCACGCACAGACAGACAGACAGACAGACAGACAGACAGGCAAACAGACAGACAGACAGACAGACAGACAGACAGACAGACAGACAGACAGACAGACAGACAGACAGACAGACAGACAGACACAAAGACACACACACACAACCACACACACACACACACGCACGCACGCACGCACGCACGCACGCACAAACTCACGCACGCACGCACGCACGCACGCACGCACGCACGCACACACACACACACACACACACAAACACACACACACTCCTGAATTCACACGCGGAACGTGTGGAAGCCACACGAGCAACACAGGTTCGGAGGATTTGCTTGCTTGTCCACGCGAGGGCCAAGTGGTGGAATAAATGCAACCACATCCAGCTTTCGCCCGTGCATGCCACATTACAAAAGCTATCAACATCGAATCGGAAAGTCAGATCGAAGCGGGCCGCATCGGCAAGGAATCGGAATGGAACTGGGTCGGCTGCGCCAGGATCGATGCACAGCCGCGCCATCCAAACACTAAGCCACATCAAACCGTCGGAACATCGGAACCGAACCAGATCGAGTAGGACGGAATCGAGATCAAGCCGGGTCGAACGGATCAAGCTCGGGGAAACAGATAGGTACCAATACCGCTACCCCCCACATCTCTCCCGGGTTGCGTTCTGACCAGATTTCCCAGGCGAATCCAAAGGTGTTGACGAGGGCCTCCCGAGGGAAGGATAATCAGCGGTATGGGTACCTTTTCCTCCTCTGAAAGCTGGACCTTGAGTGAAGTCGGGCGCGTCCCCCTACAAAGGGATCTTGGACGAAAAATAAAAAAAACAGTCCAAACAGATTTCAAACTTGTGTAAAAAATACTCAGAAGATAGTCCCCCTACTATTTTTTTTGCGTACTTCTGTATACTCCCCCTGTGCAAGGGCAGGCCCGACGTAGACCTTGCGCTGCGCATGCTGCATTCCCAGCCCCCGCACGCAGAGCGGCGGACCTCCGCGAGCAGGCGCAGGCCGGACTCGCCGAGCCCGGGGTGCCACTGCAGCTCCAGCGCCTGCGCGCCGGGCGCTCCTCCTCCTCTCCCGCCCGCCCCGCGGAGTCCCTGCCCGCCCCATGGCCCATGGCGGTCGATCGAACCGCCCTCCGCCTCCGCAACTGTGAGGGGGCCCTGGGACACACAGATAAAGAGGCACAGATGACAGGATGCCCTATACTTTCGGGGCGTCTGTCTTCCCCCCAAGTCCTACATGTTCCCATCTTTCCCGGGGGGTCGACGATCAATTGTGTATGCGTCTTCTCCCCTCCTGAAATTACACCATATGAACACTGCTCTCGTCTCTCCCCTGGTGGCCTCCGCGGACATGTCCGGCCCCCCTCCGCGCACGGGTTTTTTTTACGCGCAGGATTCCCGGGAGTTGGGTCTTCGCCCTGGCTTTTCCAATGCTGCTCTCGCTGAAGCGCTGGCCTCGTGTTCGGGCTGCCGCTCGTGCCGAAACGCGCTCCCGCTGCAGCGCAGGCCTCCTTTCCGCGCGTCCGCTCGTTCCGAATCCTGCTCCTGCTGCAGCGCTGGCGTCATTATTTCCAGCGCCATGCCACGGCAGGGTTTTCGGTGCTTCCAAACAGGCCCCAAAATTTAGAAAACGGACCTCCGAATAAGCCATCGGAAGTGATGGCAAATTCGGTGTCGATCCGTTGATTTTTGGGGGCCGCAAGGCGTCGCCAGCCATGCTGTGTCAGGCTGCGCGTCCTCATGTCCGCGCCTGCTGTTGTTTCAAAATGCTGCGCTCGCTGGAGCGCTGGCCTCCTTTTCGGGCTACCGCTCGCTCCGAATCGTGCTCCCGCTGCAGTGCTGGCCTCCTTTCCGCGCTTCCGCTCGTTCCGAATCGTGCTTCTGCTGCAGCGCTGGCGTCATTATTTCAAGTGCCATGCCCCGTCCTTCCACATAGGCCCCCAAAACTAGAAAATAGCCTCCCGAAGAAACCATCGGAAATAATCACACATTCGGTGTCGATTCGTTGGTTTTCTGCGCCACAGAAGCCCCCCTCCCCACCTTGGGGCGTCGCCACGCCATGATACGTCATGCTACGCGTTGATCTTCGACACCATGTTATGCCATGTAATGATATGTCATGCTGCGACATCCGATTGTGCGAATAGAGAGGATATCTACGCCATGGTAAGGGATGGGAGGGAGGGGCAGGACGTCAGATATGACGCGAGCGCACCTAGCTTGTCCGCCTCCTCCTCCTCCTCCTCCTCCTCCTCCTCCTCCTCCTCCGCCTCCGCCTCCGCCTCCACATCCGCCTCCTCCTCGTTCTGCTCGTTATGTTTTACCATTCGACGGACTCTAGCAACTAGGCTGTAGCTTCTGGCCGCCAAAAAAAACGCCCGAGTGCAAACTAAGCGGTGCAGGAGGTGCAAAGAGAAGCGAAAGAGTGGAGGGCCCGCAAAAGCAAACCATATCAGAGCTGCGGTCCCTCCTCGTTCTCCAAGTTCTCCTCGTTCTCCTCCTCCTCCTCCTCGTCCTCATTCTCCTCCTCCTCCTCCTCTTCCCCCTCCTTTTCCTCCTCCTC